AGATCTTCTTTATGCACCAAGAGCTTGTAACACTCCAGAGAAAGGAAAAAATGAAATCGCATCATATGACCCCTTTAATTTGATCAAAAGTGACAGTAAAGATATTTATAATGTTGCAAAAGATTTCTCTTTCAAATAAATGCCGTTATTTTTACAAATCCTGCAAAACAAAATGTATCAAAGTTTCCACAAAAATATGAAGCAGCTCAACTGTTTTCAACATTGATAATAATATGCTAATCAGACTATATTCAAATAGAAAATATTTTTTTTACATTGTAATAATATTTCATGTTTTTTTTTTTTTTTTCAGTTTTTTACTGTAAATTTAAAAAATCTTACCAGACAAACTCTCTTTTTCTTTCTAGGCCTGCAGTATATACTGTAGTAACATTTTATGTCCCTACTAACAACACACCACAATTCAATACATGAGTTTTGCTTAAAAATGTAAAGTATTAAAAACAAATGATTTGTGTTCATATAGATGTCGATCTTGGAAAAGATGACATCTTTAACTCCAGTTCAGGAAACGACACTATCCCAATGCCATCGATTGCAGTTACTGAATCAGTCCTCACTACAACCTTAACCACAAGAGTTTTCATTCCAAAAACTCTGGAATCAAGTACAACAACCACTCCTACGGTACAACCATCTCCAAATTCACCGGAAGAAACAAAGTTCTCGACCAAAACACCAACACAGAGTCCCATGATAGTGGATGAAATGGTGCATAAAAATCAGGAAGATGGACGGAACGCGACCGAGTCTACGAACTGCACCTTTGACCCCTGCATTCACCTCCAAGACACCTGCTTCAACAGACCCGACCCGACATGCATCTGTCCCGGCGTGACCTCAGACTCGCAGCCTCCTGACAGCCCCACCTCGCTCGCGGTCACGGCGGTCACTTACAGCGTGCTGCTAGTTACGTGGTGTGCGCCGTACTCACTGGTAACGCAGTACTTGTTAGGTGTCCGACACGAGGGTTTAACGCAGAAGAACCTGAGTTTCAGCTCTGCGGTCCGTCAGGTGTTCATATCAGATCTGGAGGCGGATAGCATTTATCATATCTGCTTACAGGCCGTGAACGGCGCAGGATCATCAGGCCCTAAATGTGCCTCGGTCCGGATGGGTTTAAACACAGAGGTGTATTTATACAGTCTGTTAGTGGTGTGTGGAGTCCTGATGCTGATTGTGGCAACACTGAGCTTCTGTCTGTATAAACAGTGTAAGAAAGCACCGGTGGAGAACCCACATCTAACCCGGTTAATCTCCATCCCCAATCCAGCGTTCTTCAACCCATAGAAAGAACAGAAGGAGTGGAAGAACATACCTCTTCATATGCAGCTGCATGTATAGAGGAAATCAATTCTCCAAATAAAAGTTCATTAGATATTTATCTAAATGTTTTTCCCTTAAGTAATAGCTCTATATATTCTTAAACCTTACCTGCATAGTTGGTGGGCGCACAATACAAATTCCTGCTATTGGCCAGAATTTTGTGCATTTATAAAATATATTTGATTTTATGCATACATGTGCTCAACCACAACCAAATTAAAATATAAATGAAATTTTGATAGAATCCAGTCAATTAAATCAATACACAGTGTTATTAATGTTAACTAAAACTATAAAAAACTTTAATTTTAATCAAATAAATGTTAACTGAGATAAACTAATATATATATATATATATTATTTTTAAATAATTTGTTTAGTTTAAGTACTACAATTACTACAACTAAAAACTAACTACATAAATAAATAAATACATATTTAAAACCAATAAAAACAAATTTGCAATATGAATTTAAAATAAAAAAATATTTTAAAATATAAAAATTTTAAAAAATATATATTCATTAAACATTACATATTAATCTTTCAAATAACATGGAATTAAATAAAGGGGTTGAATGATTTTTAAAACATACATGACTTCCTCAAAAAAAAAAAAGATTGTAAATGCTCAAAACAAACAAAAATTATAAAATATTTTATAAAGATGATTTTTATAAAGATAAAATATCGGTAGTTCATAGAAACCTATTAGTCAGTGTAAAACGTAAAACTTAATGTACTTAAAAATTGCATTTAATGACTACTTAAAACTCATATTATTTATAGTTTTATACTCTTGTCTAAATCAACTATTTCAAAAGATGATTAGGTTTTTACATTAAAGTAACTTCTGTTTTTTACTTTGCAGTTTACAGTCTTGTGCAATTTGGACTTTACTCCTAGCTAACATTCATATTTTTTTGACTCTTTATTTCTCTTCAAAAGAAAAAAAAAATGTACGCTGTGAATCTGTTGAAAGGATTGGTAAGAAATTACTCAAAAAACCTAACGACTGCAACTCAGAATCCTTCAGTAAAGACCAATCTACACACTCACTATAGTCTACTTTTTACACACATCATACACACAAATGTGTATTTCATGTCTATTTTTATTCTCAAAGTTGACCCAAAGTTCATTAAAAGTGATTTTAAAAAAAGTTTCTTGCGGAGTTGAAAACCATACACTGATCAGAAGTGACACCACATGAATTTAATATTGCAATCAAAAAAATAATTTTTGACTTTACAGACTAAAGTGTCTCAAGAGCGGGGCATCGATTTCCATTCTGCATAAAGACTGATTATCCAAATGTCTTGGTCAAAGCTCAATCTCAGATGACTGTACATCTACTTTGTGTTGTTCAGCACCTCAACGGTCTTTTTACCGTAATGATAGTAGCTGTAACCGGATGCTGCGGTCGTCAGAGCGGTAATGTACCTGCAAACAAACAGAATATACATTTGTTTAATTGGAGTCAATACTTAGAATATTGATGTGAGAATGTGATTGTGAGTAAAACCTCACCACAGTGACTGCAGTAAAACACTGTCAGTGTAGTGAAACACCGGCGCAGCCAGAGACGCCGACACCAGGAACAACTGCACCGCCGTGTTGATCTGAAACACACACACTGTTTTTTTCTATTTTAACAGCATCTTTTTTTCAAACACAAAACAATATATATTTATAAAAATAATGACCATCAATGGCCATAAGATTCAAAATTCAGAGTCAATACAATCTGATATTGGGAAAAACATTTACTTATGTTTACAGAAACATTACTAACACTGTTAAAAAATGCACATATTAGGACCCAATAATTTCTGTGATGATGGAAATATATTACTATTGTACAGTAGAATGTGTTTCTTAAAGTAGTAGTAGTAACAATAATAATAAACTATTAAAATTGTATTTTTTATGGAATATCACACAATTAACAGTAAACTTCTTTAATAAAAGGTGTTAAAAGTATTACATTTGATCACATTTGATTACAATTTAAAAGAATAATTCAATCGTTAATGTTTTATGTCTTCATTTGATTACCACTGTTTGTGTATTTTTTTTATAAATGTGCATTAAATCATAAATTAAATAAAAAAAAACAGAATTTCTAAAATAAATCAATAAAATTAAATGTAAAAAAAATAAAATGATTTTTTTATAAATTATAACATTGTTACAATTTTATAAATTCAACTTATTAGACATACTTTTTGATTATTCAAATTAAATTAAATTGTTAAAAAAAAAAAAAAAAAAACGGAGAATAAAGACATTTATATTGTTTCAATTTCTATTTCAAATAAATGCTGTTACTTTAACTTTCCGCTCATCAAAGAATCCTAAGATAAATGTATCACGGTTTTCACAAAAAGCAGCACAACTCTTTTCAACATTAATAATAATCAGACAAATTAAATTAAATTGTAAAAAAAAAAAAAAAAACGAATTTAGAAAAATATGAAAACTAATATATGCATTACAAGGTTTTATGAAGAGAGAAATATTTGTTTTGGTAAACAGATTGAATGGTCCACCTTGCTGATGAGTGTTGGTTTCAGTCGGGCAGTGGTGTAACACGGGTTGAAGAATTTACTGACTGTTACCTGAACAGACAATAAAGACAAATAATGTGATGGAAATGATTCCTTACACAGCAATAATAATTCTAGGTGCTTTTAGCATGTCAAAAATGGTTACTCCATGACCTGTAAAACACACAGATCCACAGAAAATAAACCAGTGTAACACTGAAACACAATTTTGACTACAGAGTGCATGCCTTGGTTCCAGAATAATTTTTCCCATTCATTTTTTCTTTCCATATGGATTTGTTAATACGTCTTTGTTTTGTTAAAATTCGAAGCATTTAAAAATCAAGACAAAAAAAGAAAAGTTACAAGACGGCTTTAATGAGGGAAAGAACTCCAGTCCTATGAAGCATTGCAAATGACAACTGAATTTAAAACTACTGTTTTAAAGATGTTGATTGTGTATGTAGCAACAACATATCTTACGTTTACTGCAAAATATGCATGCATATCCACAAATATTTAAGTAATTTGAGAGTGACTCTGGAATTTCAGTGATTGTTCAAACCATGATTATTCAAAATATTCGACTGATGACTTGTATGCATCTGATTTTTACTTTCAGAACCTGACTGTTGCACTCTATTGCATTTCTTTTAAATAGCCAATCACAATGTGACAATAAAGCACCAAAAGAATGATTGAAAGATGAAGACTTACTGGAGGTGGAACTGTTTTATAGCGCACATAGAAAACAGCAGCAATCAGTGCTACATCTCTGGAAATGATCAATGCTGTCAGTGGAGCTGTGAGGAAACACAAGAGCACTCGTGAGTGAATGACACGTCTAATACTGCCGCCTGATTATTAACAACTGATTGAGAAAGCAGCTTCAGCTGTTTGATTTGTCTGTGATAATGCATACTGTGTTTTCTGAGATCTTGAATTACTAAATATGTGCTGATGTAGCCTAAAGGTTGTGGGTGTAAGCGAAAAGCTGTTCAAACCTCATGAAGGGAAATACAAGAACACCACTAAACCAAGATTGTGACACTTAACCACAGCTTCCTCAAAGAGGATTCTTCCTGCTGTAAGTGTACGATGTGCTCTGCTGAATTAAAGGGGTAGTTCACCCAAAAATAAAGATTTGCTGTTAATTTACTCACTCTCAGGTCATCCAAGATGTAGGTGACTTTTTTCTTCAGTAGAACAGTAAAGAAGATTTTTAGCTGAAACCGTGCTCCTTGGTGACGTATAAAATGCAAGTCAATGGTTACCGGCACTTTGAGAGTCAAAAAATTAATATGCATGGCTCCTGACGATATATTGAGGTCTTGTGAAGTGAAACGATCATCTGTGCAAGAAACTGAACATTATTTATAATATTATTAACCTGTAATCCATAGCCTCAAGCAAACGAGGAAATCTGATTCTTTTCCGCAAACTGATTCTTTTGGACAGTTCGTTTCTATGAACTGGTTCAATTCACTAGTTCGTTTACGTAATCACGCAATGACCTCACTTATACATAATTATATTATTAAAGCACCCAATAATGATGTGAAACTTGGATGTTTTACAAAACATATAAATTTAATAAAACTAGTCTTCATCAGCTCACCTTTTTATATAAACCATCAAAATTTTCATTTTGCCCCTTCATTCAAGCTCTCGGTTCACTCCTGCTCATAGGTCTTCGGTTCGAGTCGAACTGTTTCCTCGGTTCAGTCAGTGACAGGAACTGGAGCGCTGAATCAGTTCATTCGTCACAGGATCAGATGGTATTTTGGCTTATTTAGAGTCGGAGTGACTGTCAGGCATCTGAAATTTGATTGAGTAACGTGTAGATCTGTGCTGCTCGAGCCGCGAACTGATTCAGACGCTTCAGTCCGATTTGATGAACCGATTCACTAAAAAGAACCGGTTCAAAAGAATGATTCATTCACAAACTGAACCGTTTGCCTGAGGCTCTGGGTTACAGCTAATAATGTTGTAAATAATGTTTAGTTTCTTGCACAGAGTGATCGTTTCACTTCATAAGACCTCAATAGGAGCCAGTTTCTTGCACAGAGTGATCGTTTCGCTTCATAAGACCTCAATAGTAGCCAGTTTCTTGCACAGAGTGATCGTTTCGCTTCATAAACCCTCAATAGGAGCCAGTTTCTTGCACAGAGTGATCGTTTCGCTTCATAAGACCTCAATAGTAGCCAGTTTCTTGCACAGAGTGATCGTTTCGCTTCATAAGACCTCAATAGGAGCCAGTTTCTTGCACAGAGTGATCGTTTCGCTTCATAAACCCTCAATAGGAGCCAGTTTCTTGCACAGAGTGATCGTTTCGCTTCATAAGACCTCAATAGGAGCCACTGGTATTAATTTTGTGTTCCTTGATATACTGTTTTTGACTCTCAAAGTGATGGTAGCTGCTGACTTGCATTTTATGAATCACCAAGATCCACGGACACTAAAAATCTTCTCTATATTTCTACTGAAGAAAAACGGATGACCTGAGAGTGAGTAAATTAACAGCAAATTGTCATATTTGTGCGAACTATCCCTTTAAATCTGGGTCTGCTGGTTAAAATACAATGACGGAAGTCTCATGATCTGTTCATCTCACCTGGGATGAGTTGTGCATATGTCAGACTGATGTAAAGAATACTGATGAGAATCTTATCAGCCAATGGATCCAGAGCGCTTCCCAGAGCCGACTTCTGATTGGGCCAGTTCCGTGCGATGTAGCCGTCCAACTGAAGGAGAAACCAATGATCAATAAAACAACATCAGCTTAAGGACACTTCATTAAGCCTTGAAATAAAATGATCAAGCACCACAGATCACATTTTCTTTAATCTACCAAGTCTGTTGCTCCGGCCAGTACAAAAAGGCCCAGAGAGACGTGGAAGTACTGCTCCATGATTAAGTATCCCAGGACAGGAGACAGAACGATCCGGGCAATACAGAGGTAATTCGGGATCGTCCATGGATTCTCATACTGCGAATAAATTACATTACATGGCATTATGAATATGCAAGAAGAGAAAGTATTTTATTCACACTTAAAATGCATGAATGTCGTTTCCATGGCCAACAGAAATATTAAAGCAAATTTAATTTACTGCAAAGAAAAACAGATTTTCTTTATCAGTATTTTCTGTCGTTTTCCAGTACAAATATATAAACAACCATGTTAACTACGAACATGATCCACTAGTGTTTGACAGCCACAAAGTGAAACAATATTTTTTGTCTTTTCTTTTTTCAACAATAAATCTGTTGATTTATCATTTCAAACTGTACAAATTTGTTTTAAATACTCTGTTCATAAGTGTGCATCTTCCACTGCAAAAATAAATAAATAAATAAATGTATTGTTTTCCGAGATGCAAAATGACATAAAATACTAAGTCTTGTTTACTGAAAAAAACGTCAAAATCTGTCAGCGGGGTGAGAAAAATGCACTTAATTCAAAGGAAAAATAACAATTTTTTTCTTGATTTAAGCATAAACTCACTTATTTTTTTGAGGGGAACAAATGTAAATGTATCTTGATTTAATAAATTTGAAATAAAACAAGACATATACCAAAAAAAAAAAAAAGTAAGAAAATTATTTTTCAAGTAAAGGTTGCAAACAAAATACTTGGCAAAAATAATTTTTTTGTGATTCAAAATGATAAATCATTAGATCTAGTATTGAAAATAAAGACAAAAAGTAACTAAAATTGACTAATTTACATTGGTATACTATAAAGCATACCCATTAAAAATATTATTTGGAAAAAAATTGTCTTTTAATTTGGATTAACGTTTTTTTTAGCTAATGAAATATGTATTATTTATGAGTTTATTTTAATAAATTGTTATTTTTTACTTTATATTGAAATATTAAATTGTATTACTGTTTATTTATTTTAATGTAATTATTCATGCATTTCATATAATTAATTTACTTTTATTTATTGATTGATTTAAATTTAAATACATCTATCTTCACATTTCTACACTGTTCTTCTCTGAACTTGCGGCCCCCTGTGGGTCCCCGGACCCCAGTTTGAAAACCCCTGCCGTAATTTATTTAGACCTAAGGTCAAAACAAGTGTGAAAAAAGTGTAAAAGGTCAAATAATACACCTGATTCGCTCACCGGCTCTTTAAACTGGAAATGTCCCTCAGGTGAAGAGGCTGCTTGATCTTCATCCTTTTCCCTTGAATCCTTTTCAGAAGACTTTTCTTCCAAAACTGGCTTTCTAGATGCTTCAGTACAATACAGACTAAAACTACTGCTAGACAGCGGCAGATGAAGCCTGCAGTGATGTTTCAGTAACGTTAGTTTTGATCTACAAATAACAGAGAAGAGATGGTCTGGTCTCTGACTGCCTGCTCTGTGAAGGTCCAGATCTGCTCTACAGGAGCTCTGAAGCCATCGGGGCTGTGATGTAGTGTTTTTCCGCGGTAAGTTTGCAGGTGTTTTGTCATGGCAGCTGTAGTGGCAGGTGGCAGCAGTGCTGGCAGTCAGTCTGTGTGTGTGTCCTTTAGCACAGCTCAACCAGCTCTTCCTACAAGCAGCCAAAAGCATGTCAGCGGCTTTAGCTCAAGAAAACTAGATGATAGATAACCCCGAACTGTCCAACCGAGAATCCAGCAGCATATTTCGAAATTAATTCGTTCATGTTATTTTATTTTTGAGACATTCATATCTGTCGACCCACGTTTCTAATATGCCGTGTTCCGATCTGAATGTTTACGACAGTTGTCAAAAGGGGGCGGGGAATTAAAGGGAACGCGCTCTAATATAAGCTATAAAAAATAAAAGAAATTAATTGAACGCAGTCTATAAGTCTATAAAATGCGACATATTAAGTGATATAATATAACATATAATATAATATTATATATATATTTTGATGTTGGTAGAAACAGATACCAAGTTAGTAAAAATATCTAGGTGCAACATTAATTGTAAAACTGTAAAACATTTTCTTTTATATTCACAAAACTGCAAGTCAGTTTATCAACTAATAGAAATAAATAACCATTTATAATATAATATAATACATGCAATTTATTAGCTAATGTAACATGAAATGTCATAATAGTTAATAGTAATCAACATAGAATCTTTTAGAATCTGTCATTTTGATTTTTATTTATTTTTTTACTTTATTTAGATGGCTTTTTATAATGAATACAGCGTTCATGTGCATTTGCATGTTCTTTAAATTTTAATCTATTGCATTTGCATTTATTGGCTGCACATGTGTAAGTTCTTATAAGGTTATTTTACTGTTACCGATAATGGTATAAACAGACTTCAGCATTCAGTATGGAACACAGCTAACATCATACAATACAAAACTATTTAAACATTGTTTTAATGTTCATAAATGTGGTTACTGTTTGATTTTGTACATACCATATACAGGAAAAGACTATTTAAAGACAAATATGTGTCTATTTGTGTACATGAAAACAATGTACAGTTCATAACATGGAAATACTGAAGCATTTGTGTAAACATACATTACACTGTGTGTTATAAATATAATATTGGTTGCATTAAAAAACTAACACAACAGTACGACACAGAGCGTAAAACATCATAAAGGTGGCTGGTTCATATGGTTTGAAGCTGATAGGTCCTGTGCCCTTTCTTCAGAAGGTAACCCTGCTCATTGAGTGCGCTGATGAAGCCCTCAAAATCCACAACCTGAGAAAGCAGAAGTGGGAAGAGCATTAAAAAAAAATGTAAATGCATCATCTGACAGCATGCTATGTAACGTGGATGAAGTTCACCTGTATTTGCAGATCTTTGGCGAGCTGTCGTAGCTCCTGGAACTCAAACATGCTTTTGTTGGTGCGTTCAGCGAGTTTGTTTAACGCTGTGACAAATTTCTTGACTTTGGAGCGGTTACTCATCCCAGAGCCCAGCTGAGAGCGGTCGAAATCCAGATGGCCAAACTCATCAGAGTAAGTGTCGGCCAAGCTAAACGCAGAAGAACATGAACGCTTTTTGTTGCATGGAAGAACAATTAACTGTTTTTTATCAATTAAACAATTGTGGAAATACAATCTGAGACTGCCATATTTTATTTGGGTCTAAATAAATCTGCATTATTTAGTCACAATCATAACACATCATCCCCATGAAAAAATTCTATATAACTTAAAGAAAATGCAGCGTTTGAGTCACCTGTGTTTCATGATCTCCATAACATCCTCCGCATCACTTTGCGTAGCTTTTTCTCTGAGCTCAACACGAGCTCTGGCCTGCAGAGAAAGAGAAAAAAAAATGTGACTGTCATTCAGAGACCCTGAATTTATTATTTAGACCCCATGAAATCAAAATGTTATTTATTGATCAGACCTTTAGTGCATGTCTATAGAAAATTGACCAAAAATATTAACACCGTTTGGAATTAAGATCTTTTTTTAATGTTTTTAAAGATGTCTCTTATGCTGACCAGGGCTGCATTTGATTATTTGATAAGAATTTTTTACTCATTTACAACACAATCAAATTTAATATGCTCCCTGCCCTTTCTTCAGAAGGTAACCCTGCTCATTGAGTGCACCGATGAAGCCCTCAAAATCCACAACCTGAGAAAGCAGAAGTGGGAAGAGCATTAAAAAAAATGTAAATGCATCATCTGACAGCATGCTATGTAACGTGGATGAAGTTCACCTGTATTTGCAGATCTTTGGCGAGCTGTCGTAGCTCCTGGAACTCAAACATGCTTTTGTTGGTGCGTTCAGCGAGTTTGTTTAACGCTGTGACAAATTTCTTGACTTTGGAGCGGTTACTCATCCCAGAGCCCAGCTGAGAGCGGTCGAAATCCAGATGGCCAAACTCATCAGAGTAAGTGTCGGCCAAGCTAAACGCAGAAGAACATGAACGCTTTTTGTTGCATGGAAGAACAATTAACTGTTTTTTATCAATTAAACAATTGTGGAAATACAATCTGAGACTGCCATATTTTATTTGGGTCTAAATAAATCTGCATTATTTAGTCACAATCATAACACATCATCCCCATGAAAAAATTCTATATAACTTAAAGAAAATGCAGCGTTTGAGTCACCTGTGTTTCATGATCTCCACGACATCCTCCGCATCACTTTGCGTAGCTTTTTCTCGGAGCTCAACACGAGCTCTGGCCTGCAGATATAGAGAAAACCTTCAGACTGTCATGCAGAGACCCTACATTTGAAGAGTTCATTTGCAAAAACAGATAACTCTGTTTTTAACAATTCTCAAAAATTATGTTTTTTCATTGTGCATTCCAATTAATCTCAATCAAACTGCAGTTGGGTTATTTTGATTAGGTTAAAAAAAATAACTAAAAATTACAGCTAACTAACACAATAAAACAATAAAAACATGATTACACAATAAAAAAAACATGATTTTTGAAAATTTAACAAAACCGAGTTATCTGTTTTTGCAAATAAACTCTTCATTTATTATTTAGACCCCATGAAATCATTTAGTGCAAGTCTGAAAAAATAGAAAACAGACCAAAGATACTGACAAAAATTAGGATGTTTAAATGTTTTTAAAAGAAGTCTCTTCTGCTCACCAAGACCACATTTATTTGATCAGAAATACAGTAAAACAGTAATATTGTGAAATATTGTTACAATTTAAAATAACTGTTTTCTATTTGAATTCATGGTTTACACAATATATATATATATATATAAATTTCATTTTAAACATTCAAATAGAAAACAGCTATTTTAAATTGTAGTAATATTTCACAATACAATTTTTATTGTATTTTTGATCAAATAAATGTAGCACTGGTGAGTAAAAACATAAAAAAATCTTAATTATTCAAAATGTTTGATTGTATTGTACACATTTTTATCTATCAAAATGCAAATAGTAACTCATGGTTTTGCTGCAACGTGGCTGTGATGTAAACTAAAGGCTTTTGACTATTTAAAAAAAAAAAGAACATGAATAGGCAATGTCACCACAGGAAAGAAAAATCTTAAAAAATTAAATAAAAAGAATAATAAAGCGAACACAGAGTGGAGTAAATGTCGTGATGTCTTCAGTAGAACTGATCTTATATCGTGGTCATCCTGTGGTGATTTCGGTCACCTCTGTGAGTCGGATGAGGGACTCCAGCTGGCGGGTGGTGATGGGAGTGCTGTCGGCCGTCTGGTTCTGTTTGCGCAGCTCCAGATAAAAGTCCTGCAGCACCTGCGCAGCCTCTGCAGAGAGAGTGGGGTGAACGTAGTGGCGGGCGTAGCCGACGTACTTCCGCAAAAGCTGGTGAGGGATGGGGTCAAAGGCCTCTCCTGGAACCAGCTACGGTCAAAGAGAGATTAATATTAGTACAGCTGTAATATACAGTACAGTACCAATAAATAGTATTAGTTGCATTAATAAAACATACTGTACAGCATAAATTAAGTCAATAATCAAATTTGTTAACATTAGTTAAGCATTAGCTAACATGAACTAACAATGATCAATATTTTACAGCATTTACTAATCTTTTATTAATAAAAATTGTATACAATTTATTTAGTCAAGAATATAATTGTTGATTATGTAAATTGACAGTGCATTAACTAATGTTAACAGATACAACTTTTAATTTTAAAAATGAAATATTAAGAATAATAAATACTATAGAAGTATTAGGTCATTGTTAATAAAGTAGTTAACTACATAAAAAAAATGAAACCTTATTATAAAGTGTCCTTAATAGAATTAGTTAAGAAAAAATTTAACTAAAATGATGCTTAACAGATCAGTAGTTGTTACACATTTAAATATGTATGAGAAATAGTAAGAGTGATAACTGCAAATACCCCTAATGTTAGTTATTTTTAATAATGAAAGCTATTAGTGAGTTAGTAACGCTACAATAATGTCTCGACATTTCTTAATTAGTTATGCATTAGCTAACATTTTTTTACAGCATTCGTTAATCACTGTAAATTGTTTGTTGTTTGTTCATATTAAGTCACAGTGTAATAATGTTAACAGTTTTAATTTTTGATTTTAATATCAAAAAATATATTTTAAAATATATTACTTAATGTTAGCATTAAGTAAGATAAATAAATGCTTTAAATTTATTATTATTTTTTTTTTTTTCATTATTATTTCATGTCAGTTCAGGTCCATTAACTAATAGTAACAGATACAACTTTTGATTTTAATAATGCATTTAGTTAACATTGAAATGAACATTAAATGAGATTAATGCATGCTTTAAAACAATTTTTCATTGTTAGTTCATGTTAAAAGGGTAGTTCACCCAAAAATGTAAATTATGTCATCTGACTTCCATAGTATGGAAAAAACGTACTATGATAGTTAAAAAAAAAAAATACTCTGGAAGTAAATGGCTACCGTCAACTGTTTGGTCACAACATTCTTTAAAATATCTTCTTTTGTTGGTTTGGAACAAGTGGAGGGTGAGTAAATGATGACGGAATTTTCATTTCTGGGTGAACTATCCCTTTAACAAATGAAACCTTTTTCAGTAAACCTGGTTAAGAAAAGAAATGTGAAGTGACATTACTTTGAGTGTGTCAGCGAGGGGTTTCTCCGAGGACACCTCCAGAATGGAGATACTGGACTCCTGCGTGCTGTAGCGTGTGACCGCAGCACTGCTGACTGCACCGTTCTTTCCTGCACGCATGGCCATCACGTGTTCGGACAGCAGGTGGTCGTGGTCTTCATTAGGGGTGTCCAACAAGATGAAGACCAGATCGAACCTGGACAGCAGTG